GCCGGTTCTTGCTGAGGACCAGGAGCTGCAGCTGGGTGAGGTTGCTGAAGACGGCAGCAGGGACGGTGGAAAGCTCGTTGTCATAGAGCCACAGCTCCCGCAGGTTGGGCATGGGCCCAAAGGCAGCGGGGGAGATGTCCCGCAGGCGGTTGACATGCAGAGTGATCTTGGCGAGGGCATGCAGGGGCAAGAAGACACCACTCGGCAGGGTGGTGAGGAGGTTGTTGGACAGGTAGAGCTTCTGCAGCTTGCTGTTGTGCACGAAGAGCTCTGGGGACAGCGTCTCCAGCTGGTTCTGGTGCAGCCCCAGCTCCTGCAGCTCCGGCAGTCCATCAAAGGTGCCTGCCGGGATCTGCCGGATCCGGTTCTCATAGAGCCGCAGCACTTGCAGCCGCGCCAGCCGCTCGAAGGCTCGGGGCGGCAGGCGCTCGATGTTGTTCCTGGCCAGGTTGAGCTTGGTGAGGCTGCTGAGCTGGTCGAACACTCCCTCCTGCAGCTCCTGCAGGTTGTTCCCGTGCAGCTGCAGCTCCTTGAGGTTGCTCAGGTGGGCGAAATGGGAAGGTTCAACCTGAAGGATCTGGTTGCTGGAGAGGAGTAGAGACTCCAGTTTGTCCAGAGGCTCAAAGACCTGCACAGGGAGCTCCTGCAGCTTGTTGCTGGACAGGCTGAGGTAGCGCAGGTCGGGCAGGTGCTGGAAGGCCCCAGGGCTTATGCGCGACAGGTTGTTCTTCTCGATGCGCAGCGCGATCAGCAGGGAGGCGTTGCCGAAGGACGCGTCACCCAGCTCGGTGATGCGCGTGTTGACAATCTGGAGAGTCATGGCATTTGCAGGGATGGGGCTGGGGACTGCAGTGATGCCAGTGCCAGAGCACTCTACCTGGGCAGTGCGGACACACTGGCACTGCTCTGGGCACTGGCCACCAGCCAGATGGATGCCCACCAGCAGCAGCAGCCACTGCTGCCACCCTCCTTGCTCCATTGGGCCTGCAGCAAAAACAAAGGAGTGGGGTTCAGCCCCTGCAATTTCCCAGCAGCCCAGGCTAGTGCCAGGGGTGGGTGCTATTTTCTGCCTGGAAAAGGCCAGCATGGCAATGAGGCAGAGGAGGGCAGGCGAGGAAGGCTGGGGCCTGGAAGGGCTTGGCACAGCCCAGGCAGCCACGCAGAGTGAGACAGAGCTGGGGGCCGTGGTGCCTGGCTGCCATACCACAGCTATTAGTGGCATCCCTGGCGTCTGCCTCTTGGCTCCTCTGGTGGCCAGGAGCAGTTTCATGTTTTACAAGCACGGTGAGCTGCCGTGAGCGACACTGACCTCCTGGCACCACTGAACAGCCAAAACCAAACTGGCTCACAGCACCCACAGCCATGAGGGTCTCAGGGATGCCAGGTGCTGGTCGCTCCTCCTAGCACCCATGGGCACCCTCTTGGCTCTGCCTGACAGCCAGCAGCTCTGAATTCCTGTTGCAAAGCCAAGAGCAGTGTCAGCACCCACTGTCCAGGCATGCTTTAGGTCCAATTCTGCAGGAGCTTGGGTCAATAGGACCCTTGCCAGCTCCCCAGCACAGGCTGGGTATGAGGGTGGCCCTGTTTGCACCCCTTCCCAGAAGGTCTCAGCCCTGGCCGATTTTTGCCATGAGAGTAGAGTGTCTGGTGTGGGTGCCTGTATGCAGGCTGGCCCCAGGGGCTTTGCAGTGAGATTCCCTATTACCCCACAAACACAGACACACATAATGGACACACTCGCCTTCCTTCTCCAGCCTGGGAGATTCCTCCCTCTCTAGATTGAAGCAGCAGCCTTGTGCCAGGCTGGCATGTAGCAGCCGCCTGCTAACAGCTTCAAGTGGCACAAAGGAGGGAGAAAACCCACAAGTCCCTTAGCAGCAAGCACAGCTCAGCCAGACAGGTGAATCTGATAACAGAGGGGTGCTGGAATGGTGCCCCAGCTGGCACAGCACCCCTGGGTGCTGGGTCACAGCCCCTGTCCTCCACCCTGCTCTCCCTCCAGGGAACATGCTTGTTCTCTGATGGGGAGGGAGGAACCCTGCACAAGCCAGTGTAGTTTATGTTTCCCATATGGAAACAATATGCATCCAGGAACAGCTTTGTTTATAGCGAGCCATTTATAAACTTCCCCAAACACTCAGTACATCAAAAGCCCTGCTCATGTCACTCCCTGGTAAGGCAATACAGAGAGCATCCAGGCTGGAGCAATCTTCAGGAAAGGCAGCTGGAAACAATTGATCTCCCTTTTTCTTCAAGGGACAATAAACTTATAGGCAGAACACTCTCCACTGCTCAGCCTCTCAGCATCCCACTGCTCCTAACATCAGCCCCACCAAATATTACTTTGCCCCCCTCTATTTTCTCTATTGGTCATTATTTGGGTTATGTTGCCTATGTAACTCTTCCAGCTCCCACAGTGCCTAAGTGGTCTCAAGTTTTTGGAGACCCTTTGCAAGACAAACATCTCCATCAAATAAAAACTTGCTGAACTTGCAGATCTGGATCATGACTGCACCACCAACCCTCGGAGCTGCCTTGGGAGTCCCCTGGACCCGGAGCCACTCACAGGGACAGTAGCAGAAAGGAGACTTACCCGAGTGTCCTGCAGCCACGAGCGCCGAGTGAGCACAGCTCAGTGCTGGCAAGAGAGCTGAATGTGGTTCATGCTTCCCCTCCCAGTATATAACCCGTCCAAATCAATGAATCAGCACAGGGGCAGTGTCGGGGTTAGTGAAAGCGCTGGAGCAGAGCTGCTTCCAGCTCCTGTTTCCTCAACAGAGCAAGGATCTCAAGGATGGAGTTTTGGTTTTCCCTCTCCCGAACCCCAGTGCTTTTTGAAGAGAAGCAAACAGCCCCATGAACATGTTGCTCATGTCAGCCAGCACCCAAGGAGCAGCCTGGTGCCAGGAGCCCCCCAGTCCCCAGAGGGGCACAGCTAGGTGCCCCAACCCATGGGGGCAGGTGAGGCAAAGCCAGATCCCTGAGCACAGCCCTGCTCTTCACCTGCCTGTGTTCAAGCTGAGCTCCTCCACGGCACTGCCTCAGTATGTGCACAGCACTTGTCTCACTGGCTGTGGCTTCTGCAAGCAATCAGGACCTCTGCCGTGCCCCAGCCCAGGCAGCTCCCTGGCACACCAACCCTGCCCAGGTCACAGCTCCCATTCTCCCCCAGCCACATATACAAATGGGCTAGGAACCCACACCAAGCTCTGTCCTGTGGGCACTTTGCCCAGCCCTGCCACAGAGCAGGCACTACGCCAGGATCTGCAGCTGGATGAGGGCCAGCTGGGTACCAAGCTGCTTCAGAGAGCCCTTGACAAGCCAGAGCACTTCCCACTAGCCATCAGAAACACCCAGGCACTGAGAAACCCTCATTGCAGGCATCCTTACAACCCCAGAGCAGCATGCACTGACATCTCCCAGCATTTGTCACTGCTCTGCACCCTCAGCAGCCCTGACACACTGGTGATGGAGCCTGGCACCCACGGGTGTTTGGGAAGCATCCAAGCCATCCCATCCATTTGTTCAGAGATGGTTCACCTACTGCCACCCCTCCCCTGCTCACTCCAGCTCACATGGGTGCACTGGGGTGCCCTTGGTCCCTGCCAACCAGCCCAGGTCTCCCCTCCTTGCCCACCTCTTCGGAGCACCCCCAGTCCAACAGCCACCGGGAACGGATATTCAGGAGGAAGTAGCTAAGGAGAGTTAGTATACGTGGCCCCTTTGGGCTTCCTGGACCCAGAGCAGTCCTGTGCTAACCACGGGGCAGCTGGAGCTTCCCTGAACACATCTAATCCTGTCTCAGCCCACCCATGTTTCCGCCAGTTGCAGCAGCCCCTGCTCAGGTCCCAGCTGGAGCTGCTCAAGATGGAAACAGCATGGGGCTGCCACCAGAGAGGGGGGAGGAAGGCAACCTCCATCCCCTGCCACAGCATGTCGTGCTATGAGGGGTGGGAGGGTGCAGGGCTGTGCAAGGAACAGCAGAGAGGGGACCAGACCAGGATAAACAGCAAACTGCAGGGATGGAGAGCAGAATTCCCAGTCAGTCTCAGAGGAATGAGACAGAGATCGTGGGAAGATGGAAGGGAGTGGGACCTTAGCCAGAGGCAACTGCTGCCACTATGTCAGATTGTAAGGGGTGCTTGGCTCTCATAGGACATGCTGGATGGCCACAGACCCCTCCCCAGCTGGGGAGTGAGTGTGGACACTTGAGGCTCCCCCCAGGCATGCTCCCTGCCTGCTCTGGGTAAAAACCCAGGCATTTGGGCACAGAGAAGGGGCATTTTGCAAACATCACTCACCAAGTGCTCTAGCTCATGCTCTATTGACACAGCAGATTTTCCCAGAACCATGGTTCTCAAAATAACCTTACTTCCTTTGACAGCGTTGCAGCTGGAGGTCAGGCAGTGGGCTTGGGAGCTGCCCACTCCCTGCAGCCCTGGCACAACAGCAGGGCTCTCACAGCCTGATCGCCAGCACTGTCTGCCTGCTGCCAGCACTAGTGGGCTCCTGCCCACTCTGACTCATTCCAGAAGCTTTTCAGTGAGGCAACGCAGAAACTAAGCCCCAGCACTTCTCAAAACTGCCACCCCAAGCCCAGTTTGGCAGAAGAATGTCAGATTTGCCTCCTTCCAAGCAGTGTTTCCCCTTGAGGCAAACACCCTGCCCCAAGAGGGGGAGTGATCAGATTTTGGTCCCAACCACCAAGCAGTGCCCAAAGTTTCAGAGGAGGCCAGATAACATCCCTGCCATAAACCCACTTGCCTCTACCCAAGCCTTGGGAACCTGGCTGTGGATCCTGGCTGGGAAGTCTATTTTCAAGGCATCCCTAAAAATAAGGCAGGGCTGAGTAACAAGCCTGTGCACCACTCCTGCAGCCACTCCCGGAGGTGAGAACATGGGAGCTTGCCTCAGGCTACTCACAAGTGAGAGAAGCAGAGGGTGTGAGAGCTTGGGACAGCAGTACAGACACACCCTGCACATCTGGAGGGGAGAGGCAGCTCCCGAGACAGCATACAGATATGATTGAGGGTGAGAGAAGCATTTTGCAGGGATAGGCTGCTCTGTGTAGCCAGGAGCTGACACAGGCACTGGATGTAGTGGAGCAAGTCTGGCTTGCTGCAGGAAAGCCCCAGGTCCAGCATTGCTTTGTGGACCTTTCCCAGCTCCAGCCTCACCAGCCCAAGGCGGAACCGCTTGCCCAAGCTCAGAACAGCATGGAGCCACTGCCGTATTCCTGCACCTCCAAGGGCATGATGGAGCCCCAGAATAGCAGCATCACTTAGTTTTGGGGAAGTCTGCCTTGATACAGGACAGCAGGACAGGCCCATGTCTGTCCATGCTGGCACACCTCCAGCACATCCCCGGGGCCAGAGTGGCGGATGCAGCAAAGCTAAGTAGCTCTGAATGACCAATGGACTCAAGACTGCTTGGAAAAATTCATGTAATCGCTAAAATTAGCAGCTTGTGGGCTTGGCTGGGAGAGTGCATTGTTCATCTGCCAAGCAGCTGAGCATGCTCACCCACACTGTGCAGCTACACAACCCCTGCTCCCCACACACCTCCAGCTCCTGCCTGAGATGGCACTCTGGGTGGGATGGGATGTTCTCAAGCCCTGCTGCTCCCCACACAGTGCAGTGCTGGGACCTCCCCCCACCCAGTTACTTTGCACTGCTGCAAAATGCCCATCCTGCTGTGAGAAACCCCCGGGGTGGCCCCGGTGCTTATAGAGACTGGCTGGCCCCAGGCATCAGGCCAAACTCTCCTCTGCTGAAGCAGAGGAGGAGTGTGGAGGGCTGGGCTAGGGGCCGTGGAGGGGAATCCTCCCCATGTTCCAGCACAGGGGAACACCACTGGGCCTGAGCCCTGCAGCAGGAGCCACAAGATCAAGTCACAACTGAGAGGTGAAGGAAGGGGCATTAATCCCTCAGGGACTGGTCCTGAGCCCCTGCCCCACCACATGCTCACCCTAATCCTTTGAGGAGTCCAGAGCAGTGAATTCTTCCGTAGGTCCAGCAATCCCATCCCAGTGATATTTTTAGCTCCCTACTTGAGGAATGCAGGGCCAGGGCTGCCTCTCTGTTCATGGCTAGATGCTGCTCCCTCTGCATCTGCCCCAAGGGATGTAGGCATGTCCTTCCTTCCCTGAGAAAGTGCTTATGCAGTGGGGGAGCTACTGGAGGAAGCAGCAGCCCTGGTCCCTCCAGGGTGGTATCAGGGATGGCCATCAGGCTAACCTCCATCCAAGCACCAGCACCAGGCCCACCACAACCCTCCTGGAGCTCAAGGAAAATGATGTTTAGGATCTCAAGTCCCTGTGGGGCTCACCCCACCAGCAGAACCAGCTCCTCCAGAGGCTCAGCCCTGGCCTGAGCGATAGCAGAAGCATGCAGGGCTTTGGCGTGGGCTCAGGGCAGCGCTAGGCTGGAAGGAATGCGGGGCTTGCAGCCAAGTCCGCCTGGAGAGATAATCCAAAGCGGAAAGAGCTTGTCCGATGGGCGCTGTGAGAGGGGGAAAGGACTGGCTGCAGCAGGAGGTGATGGTGTGGGGCTCATGCACTGCCAGGTGGTTGCTCAACTGGCTTCACCCTGTTGTCCATCTTTGAAAAGCCATCCCTGGCACCAGGGAGTGCCCCAGGGACCTCTTCCCAAAACCCGAAGGGGGAAAGGGGCCCCAACTCTCCCCAGGGAAAACTAGCAGAGGAGTGTACATCAGGCTGCAGAGCTGCTGCCAGCTATCCCTGGCTCCCTGCCTCGAGCTATTTCCATCCAGATACACACAAAGGCACAGCTGGAAGCCTGGCATGTCAGTCCCACAGCAGCGATTGCACAAGAGGGGCTAAGCCTAGTGGTGGATGGCACTGGAACAGCAGCCCCCCACCCTGCAGTGAAAGGTGAACTCAGCCCCCACGGCCCAAGCAAGAGGCTTTAGGGTCTATCCTCTCCTGTAAACACTCAGAAGAGAAGGGAATGTGAACCCAGACTTGGGCTACGAAAATGTAGGAGGATGGAGGCATAACACCTCCCTAGCAGGGACAAAGCTTTGGGCTTCCGGATGACTGTGAGAGTCTGTAAACACTCCAGCCCCAGCCCTGCCTGGCGGACACGACGTGCCTTTGGCTGCGTGTCCTCCCAGCTCTGCTGTCATCCCTAGGAAATGATCTGATATCACTGCTGCCGAATCAGCAGCTCCAGGAAAGACATGCTGGTCAGAGTCCCGGAGGAGACACGGCCAATGTTTCCTAATGTCAGGCAGAGGCTCCCAGGGCTCCTGCCTCACAGCCAGCAGTTGCACACACTTCTGAACCATGGAGCACTGCTGGATGTTTTCTCCAAGCACATGTGCCATCACCCAGCTTGTCTTTGCCAAGGCAAGAGGGAAGATCCAAGGTGCAGGCTGCAGTCTTGCTGCTGTGTGCTGGAGGGCTGAGCTGCATTTCACAGGCAGTAGTTACCTGAGCACACTGCCCTCTGCAAGCAGTGGCAAGGGACCTCCAGCAGTTCCTGGACTCACAGGGCAGAGGTGGGACGAAAAGGACGGGGACCATCAGGGACACAAGCAAAGGACATGGGTGCTGGTGGCTTGGAGAGATCCTGCAGTGGCTGGGAAATAGGCAGAGCTGCCAGCACTTACAGCAGCAGTTAATTCATTCCTTCCTTGCCATCCTGGGCTCTGGGGACTCTCTGGATTCAAATACCAACAAGAAAAGGAGAATGGCGTTTGTAGTGACATCAGGCTGGAAACCCACTGCATACTCCCATGGCTTGGCACAGGGATGGGCAGAATTCCCACTGCTCCAGGATTTCCTAAAGCAGAGAGAACAAGAGCAACTGTCACAGCCACAGGCATTTGAAGGGACTGAGTTATGGGAGACCCTTGGCTGTGCTGTCCTCGTGACCAAACGCTCCCAATCAGGATGTGGTCACAGAGGCAGCTGCTGGACTTGGAGGTCTGGTTAACCTGCAGGGCTCTTAACCATGACTCTGCACCCTTACAGGAGCCAAGAGTGCAGAGCTGACCCCTTCAGCCACTGTGTGCAGATGTGCTTTGCATTCACCTTTTCTCCAGTAGCCAGGACCTGCTGGATCAGGGACTAGGTACCTCCAAATCTCTGCCAGTCCACTGTCTCCCCAGCCCAGCCTGGTGGCAAAAGCTTGGCAGTAGATCATGGAGGCATGAGCTGCAGGGACTGAGAAAAACTTTGCCAATACTCAGGCGATGGCAAAGATCAGTGCCTTGAGGCAGCGATGAGACAAGACAGCCCAGAGAGGGTCTGGATACAGCTGCAGTTTTCCCAACGCCCCCCCCTGCAGCCTCCCCCTGCCTGCTGCATCATGCTGACCTGGAAGACAATCCCTTCTCCAGGCAAAACAGAGACGGGATATAAATAAGGATATCCTTTGATTTCTCAGGCCAGGGAGTTCTGCAGGAAGGGCTGAGCGCTGTTGGACAAGAAACAATGAATCAGAGGCAGCTCAAAACAGGACACCTCAGAGGAAGATTCAGTAAAACACCCCAGGCACTCATTGCTCCAGCCTTTTGTTGTCTGATGACTTCACTTCCCCGTCTGGCTCAAGCATGGGGAAAGCCCGATGACACCATGTGAAGAAGAATCATCCCCTCTTAGCACTTGACTGTATGCAGCTGCATACCAGAGCCAGAGCTCAGTGACTTCGGACCGGGAGCCAAGGAGCAGTGCTGGCCCCACTGCAGGGCTGGGGCAGAGGGATGGCAACTGCTGCTGACCTGCTGCTGTCCCCAGGATCAGACATCAGGGTGTTGTACACCCATACAGCAAGCAAACCAGTGCTTTTGATAAGGGGAAGAAAGCACTAAAGGGCCGGGGGAATTCCTGACTAGTGGAACAAAGGAAAGAAAGCTCTGAAAGGCCAGGGAGTGGTTGCTGAGTGAATAAAGAGATAATCAAGATAGGGGAAGCATGCCCTAAAGGACCATTAAGTGCCGGATGAGGAAGGTGACAACGATTTCAGAACTAATTGTAATAACAAGCACCCATCCCTGGAAACAAGGAATATGTATGGACACTGAATGTATATAAACTGTGAAGTTTTTGTCCCGGGGAGCACAAGTTTGGTGGAGCTATCCCCCTTGTGCCCAGCGCTGAATAAACAAATACCTGCTACTCAGAGATACAAGTCTGTGAGTAGTTCTTTTCCAGCCCTTTTCTCGGCATCAGTTTTCCTTAGAAATCAGACACTGTGGGTCCAAATGCTTGGAGCACACTTCCTTCACCAAGGCAAACGATCACCAGTGTGGTCTGTAGAGCCATTTCCTCGCTAGTCCTGGTTGTATATCCTGCCTGCTGTGAGCAGATGCCTGCGTGGCACCATCTGACAGCGCTGGAGCTGGCACAGCACTAAGTGGTCATTATAGCTGCCCAACCAAGAACCTAATTTTATAACAACTGCCTCTTTTTAAACACTAGCAGCCACCCAGAAGCACCACTAAGAAAGCTTCCTGTTGGTTTCGTGCTTCTCTCAAATATACTGCCATACATATTCTAGAGTGTCTATTTATTAATGCAGTCACAGTTTGCTTTGCACCAGCTGTAGTGAATCGCATTTCTGCTTCTTTAGAGATGGCTCTGACTCCCATTTAGGCAGGCTTGCTAAATTTTGTTAAACCTCACCAGCAAGACAATGGTCATTTAACACCACAGAAGCACATTGTCTCTTTTAACAGCCTAGAAGAAGAATTCAAGCCCAGCAGCAGAACACCCTGAAACAAAGCAGTTGTAATTTATTCTCACTGCCTAGAGTAACACACAGCAGGGAACCAGCCACAAGCCTAGAGCAACTGAAAGCTTTCTTCAATTCAGGTCTGTAAGGTGCCATTTTAAGGCCATCCAGGAAAGTGCTCAATAGTTAGAAAGTCAGTAGAGCTACCAAAGAGCTCCTGGAGTATCGGCTGCCTGGCCCAAGGAGCCAGGGAACTGCATCCAGAGGTTTTCAAGCACAACATCAGAGCTTTTAAGAACAAGATAAGTCACATAATTAAGATAAAAGCTAATAGTTAAATCCAAGAGCTACAAAAGCACAGGCACTCTGACAGCTACCAGTCTACTTACAAACTAAAATACTCATATCATTCAAAATATTAATAAATGGAAAGACCAAAATCCACACCATGGTCTTGTAGTTGCCTTTGCATATCAACACTGAAAGGGCTGGAAGTCAGGGAGTAGCACTATGTAATAAGGTAAAAAAATAGCAAAACTAAAAATGCTACTGCATACTCCAAGTTCATGGAGTTGTGTATGTTTCCTAGCCAACTTCAAAATGGTGATAACTCTTCAGGGCCCTCAGTTCAAGCAAACTCCCTGTCACTTGGCTGCTTCACTAGCCAAGCCCAGGAGAGACCAGACTTTCTCTCCCAGCTCAGCCAAGACCAGCTCTCAAACCAATACACTCCTGTGGAGCCCAACCTCAGTCCTGGGCATCTCCCTGGTACTCCAGCTTCAAGATTCCCTGTATCATGCAGCCAGTAATATCTTGCTTTTTCAGACCACTGGCCAAAGTTTAAGGATGAAAGTGTTTACTTAAAATTCAGAGTTGTTGTAACTTTACAAAGTTTCCAAAAAAAAGAACCCAAACAAACAAAATACATCAAGATTATACTTCCTAGATCAGCATCTCCTCTGCTGTTAGCTTTAATGGTACTCCTTCCTCCTGCCACATCCTGGAATGGGGCTGAGGACTGAAAGCAAAGGCGAAGACATTTGCACCATCCCATTCTGCCCCCACTCCCCATTATTGAAAGGTCTTTCCCAGCATCTCCCAAAAATACCATTTTTTTCTCAATAAGGAGATGAAACATTGCAGGCAGTATAAAGCATAATAGCATTTTGAGTACTTTGGGCAACCTCCAAAGCACAGTTAAAGTCATGTTGCTATGTAGAGTTCCCTATGTTGGTGCCACTCTGTCTGAGCAGCGTGAGCAACACAGCAGGCAGCAGTGTCCTCCAGGGACAGGCCTGAGGTCCAAAGCAGAAAACCACAGCGCACACGTAGAGGTGATCAGATACTTCCAGCAGTCCCTCTGGGTTCGTGCACCAAGTGCTGTAGCAATATACAGTAATCACAGCCACTTTTGGCAAATGTTGTGAGGTGCATGAAAGTGCATTTTCATTATGCTGTAAAGACAAGGTCTTTGTGGTCCTTGCTATGAAGATTTGTAATCCAGATCCGAATCGAGTGTCAACTGCTCAAGTGTTTGAAATGCATCCAAAGCAACGTTCCTAATCCTCTCTTGGGCTCATATTCTTTTATCTTCTTAGTAATTTTATAAGAGCTACAGGCTGAACAGGAGTATTTCTGGAGTGCAAGAGTTGCCTGGTTTTACCCATCACATACAAACTGAGCACAATGGTTACAGTTTGGAGTGCTAAAATCAAACTGTGAAGGCACAAGAACAGCTGGCAATAAGCAATTCTGGTATTAAAATAGGGTTTAGCACTCCTATGGGCTGGGAACTCATCCCACCAGGCAAGAGTAGTTAAATCTGTTCCTCTGACACTGTTGGTTTGTGCTATGACGCTGGGAGAAGTCTGGATTGGAACATCTGAGAAATGAACCCCAGATTGTCCAATGTCTTCAACATGGGAGTAGGTAAAACCTGGAGTTGCAGGAGGAATTGATGTGGGTGTGCTGGGATCCATGCTGGACAGCACTGTTACAGCAGTCTCCCAAGATGATATTAGGAGCTCTGTCACAGGAGAAGTCAACATCTGGGAATAAGTTGAGCTGAACATCTGATATGCAATGGCTGTGGTTGGCACAGGGCACTTTGTGGCATCAATAGTTAGAGCCACAAGAGAAATATTCTGCAGTGCCAGTGGGCTGTGGCACATTAGAGACAGCACATTTTTAACTATCTCTGTGCTCTTTCGGAGCCAGTCTCGGAAGCCAAGAATTTGGCAATCACATTTCCAAGGGTTGTCATTGAGAACAACTTCTTGCAGATCAGGTAAGGCAATAAAGAAGTCTGCAGGAAGAAACTCCAGCTGAGTACTGTTCAGGTAAACTTTCTGGAGGTGCTTGAGATTATGAAAGAGGTTTCTAGGAAGAACCTCAAGCCTTGTGTCAAAGAGAGAAATGTTTTGCAGTTTCTGAAGGCTCAGAAAGATGCCCTCTGGCAAACTGGAAATATTATTTGTATGCAGAGAAAGGCCCCGAAGTTCATTCAGGCCACTGAATACATTCCTAGGAAGAACACTAAGCTCTGGATTAAAACTCAGCACAAGAAGCTCTAAATTTGTCAAGTTACTGAACACAAAATCTGGTATTGTTGAGAGCTTTGTGTGATACAGCCACAGGCTACCAAGATGCCTCATTTCTCCAAACAATACTTCTGGAAGAGACTTCAGTGGGTTCCTGTACAAGGTCAGTTTAGACAGGTCATGCAAGTGCAAAAAAAGCCCAGAAGGCAAAACCTCAAGCTTGTTTCTGGAGAGCGTCAGAGTTCTCAGTTTATGAAGACAACAAAATGCATCAGGGGCAATGGACTGGATGTTATTGCAATGCAGGAAGAGTTCCTGCAGCTCCTTCAGACTATCAAACATACCAGACTCTATTGAAGACAGCCTGTTAAAATACAGCATCAGCTTCTCAAGCCTGGCTAATGCACTAAATATATTTCTAGGCAGTGCTGCCAAATAATTTCTTGACAAGTTCAGTACTTTGAGTCTGGCAAGTTTCTTCAGCATGTCACCAGGAAGGGCTGTTAGTTGGTTTTTGTTCAAGAAAAGTTCCTCCAAACGAGCTAGTTTGTCAAACAGATTTTCCTCGATGGATGTCAACCTGTTACTTTCAATGATCAATTGCTGAAGCTGCACCATGTCATCAAATGCTTCTGGGGGAAGTTCAACCAGCTTATTATCTAGCAGTTTGAGGACTTTTAGACTTCTCAAGCCTTTAAAAGCCATTGGTGAAACCAGAGAGATGTTGTTTGAAGACAAGATGAGATGTTGCAGTTCCACCATCCTAGAAAAAACATCCTGCAAGTACACTATATTAGCCTTTGTTATGTGAATTTCTGTCATGTTGCAAGGCAGATTTAACGATTTCAAGTCTTCTATGTGAGGACCAGAGCAATGAATTGCATTTTTTGAAGAGCAGTCACACTTCTCAGGACAAATAGATGCACCCAGCTGGAAGAAAAGCTTGATCATCACTGACAAATGAAACACCAACATCCTTGTTGAAGTGCCAGAAACATTAGCTGTTACAAAAGATAAGAGAGAGTCAGGATTCGATCACAGGCAGTTAACAACTTAGCAACTCATGAAAGATGTGTGATTATACCATAAAACCTTCAAATGTGTGCAAAATTTCTCTTGGCTTGAAAGCAAACTTCAAAATCTCCATTACTGCTAACTGCAAATATTTCTGAGGTGCTCACCTTACACTGAGTACAGATAAAGCTCTTTTGTAAATCAAGTATTCCTTGTTTGGATTTGTACTAGCCAAGTATAATAAAAGCATACAAAAATCATGATGAAACTCTAAGTAGCCATAAGGTATGTATTTATTTGAACAGAAAGCATTACAAAATCACAGAATGGTTTGGGTTGGAAGGAACTTTAAGGATCATCTAGTTCCAACCATGGGCAGGGACAGATTCCACTAGACAAGCTTTAGTATATTATACTAAATTACATGCAGAAAATCTTTCAAGAAAATTATCAAAAGGTCCTGCACCCACAATATTTTTCCATTGTAGGTTATCTGAAGTTTAAAAATAAAGTTTGCCCTGCAAAAATAGACAATAGAAGTAAAAAGGACATCCTATATTTTAAGTGGTGAAAAGCAAAACAGCACAGTTCAGTTAAATCATGTCTCAGCATTTTCAAGTGATCACTTCTTAGAACAGCCCAACAACGCACAAGAAGCAACAGGCTATTTTTGACATTGCCTGAAATAACACACAAGAGCTCATGTGGCATGGGACAGTAATGAGCCTCTGATAACCAACAAGTCTCATTTCAACAGCTTAACGCAATACCAAGTTATCAGTGGTATTAAAAAAGAGTGAAATGAGAGGAAAGAAGTGCCATGAAGTTAGATAGAGCCTTGTAGCAATAACGGTAAATCTGCATGAAACAGACCACAAAGTTGGAACATCGTATAGGTTTCCAAACAAAAAAAGGAACAGGAAAGCAATCGTTGTAGCTATAAATGGTAATGTTTGAAACAGCAAGTCAAACACAAATTCAGTCTAGAAATACTTCCTTAGTGAAATCAACAAGTCCAAGTGTATCAGAAACCTTGACTCCAGCACCTGGCTGAGCAGCAGATAAGCAGCAGCTGGGACAGCTGGAATTGCTGGACAACTTTCACAGACATAACGGGAATAGCTGACACCGTGTTGATCTACTACACCTGGGCCACTGGGGGAGAGGAGAGCTCTGTCCCAACATACCCTTTTCCTGGGGCAAGGACAAAGCTCTCCCATTCTAACCCCAGACAGACATGGGTGCAACCCCATCACTTAAAGAGGAGTCAGGAGGGATAGCAGAGCTGTTTATTCACCTGAACTGCTGACAAGAACATACCACTGTGGATCCAAAACAGCTGCTGCATTAAACACAGAGTGAAAGGGATGCACCTACTGGTATCAGCTACCAGGAACATGGTGCCACAAAGCAAGATCTCACTGGCTTTCCACAACTCACTCAATGAGAATGTACATCACCAAAAAAAAGAGCACAATATTTCGCCCTTCCAAAGGTCTTTTCCATGTCAAACAAGACTCTTTCAGAGAATCTCACCCTCCTAGTTATCCTATTACAGGATTCAGTAAGACAAGAGAAGTAAGGATCTAGAGAACCAAATGGGTGGGAAAAAACCCAAGCCAAACTGTTGTGCAGTCCCTCAGAGGGCATGACTGCAGGCCAGAGCCTGCAAAATAACAAACAGTGGATTGGTGATGTCTGTTCTCCTGGTCTTGTAACAAAAGGTAAGAGAGACTACAGCAAGACAAAATTAAGACACTCAGAAGTGCTAGAAAGTGATAGCTTTTACAAACAAACAATGAAATTAAATTAAATGAGTTGAAATTCTTTGGAAGAGATGAAGGCCACAAACATGTATGACTGGCACAGGAACTAGGTAATCTGTGGGTCTCAAAAATCTAGAGCTGCTTATGGTATTTTTAAAGAAACATTTAAATTTCCATAACTGAAGATTTTAACAGTACAGAACACAGTAATATCCACAACATGGGTCATAATGACACATTCCTGTGTATTCACATTTTCTCAAACCCTCACATGTGACACACAGCATTCCAGAAAGGTCACCAGCCTAGCTGGTCATTTACCACCTTCTGGTCTACAGCCTCTCCCTGTCTGCCACTCCCTGAGCATTTCTCAAGACTAGGAAAGGATGCCAGAACACATGAATACTGTTACTATATTAAAATCTCAAATCAGTTTTGAACTTAGCTTCATAGAACATTGAGCACATATATCTGCTTACCTTTTTTACTTTCTTGCAGGTTCCAAACTCACACAAGCATGAAAAGGGACTGTACCTTCAAAACTTCTCTGCTTTTTAGAGGAACTAACTTGGAGCATAGCAGGCAATCAGGCTTCACTGTGACTCTGCACTTTCAGTGGGAAGTAAACCAGCAAAACGCATCCTCTAGATAACACTTCCACCCATATTTGCCCAACTACTGCGAAAGGCCAGAAGATATTTTAAGCCTCAGAGCAGATTTTTGCCTACAATTAGTTACGCAAGCAACCAGCTACCATAGGTATGCAACTCCAAAAGTAGAGTTTGAGGCCACTCACAGACTGGGAGAGAGTTTTAAGTCACACAACAGCACAAAACCCACTTGTAGCTTCTTTGACAGTGATATTGGAGTGTGTGCTTCAGCCAAGCCCAGGCAAATCTGGGTGAAGTACATGTACATTTCAGTGGGAACTGTGATCAGAAATGGCAAATTTGTTAGTTTCACCACAGTCTGCTACACAGGTTTTGAAGGACTGGACACATCTACTTTAAACAACCAAGTGATTGTACCTTCACAAAGGTGCTCTGTCTTTTACTTTCTTGCAGGATTGGAGTCAAGGCAATTTGAGTGAGGAATGGAAGGGGTTTTTTTTATTTAATGCTTTGGCTAAGCACTCCAAGGTTGACCCATTTGGTTTCTGTTTCTCCTCCAAGTCTTATGGAGTGACAGGCCAACAAAACCCAAAGCCTGAAAGATTCTGAAGAGAGAAAAGCTACATTTTGAGAATAGTAGCTTGAAATGGAAAGATTAAGCTTCTGTTATTAAATAACGAGATATTCCAAGTATCTTGTCAAGTTTAAAATAATGTGCTCTGCCAATGAGTGTTTAAATGTAAGGTGAGCAGCAGCATGGAAAAGATGCCTTCATTTCCATGCAGTTTTGCTGAAGATGCCCATGACAACAGTGACAGCTCACAACCAGGAACATTCACCCAAGTCTTTTCAAGATCGTGTCTCCCACGTCAGAGGACAGAAGGAACACCTGAGTAACCAAAGGTGGAAACAAGTTGCTATTACATGTACAAAGTCTGGCTCTAAAATGTCTCTCCAGGCAGTAAACCACCAGGTAGAATTGCTGCCAGTATGACCTCACTGCAAGCAAAACTTCTCCCCCCACCTTCAGAAACACAGAGGTGCTGAAAAAGACACCCATGACATCAGTGGGTGAAGTCTGTGTTCTTCAGTGAGCTTTGGCTTGAATTCTATAAAGAATAATTCAAAACAATTTCATGAAACTAATGAAAAGAGTTAAAATATCTGTTCATTTTAATTTTATTTTCAAAGAGCTTCAGTCACAAAAATGATTTACAAGTCTATTTACAGTTCTATTGTACAGTTATTTATGTATGCCTCTTGACAACAGGGTACCATTCTAGAGCAGCAATACATATTTCAAATACAAAGATGTAGTATCATTTCAGATCTAAAAATAAGAAGGAAGCTGAGCTTCTAGAGAGCACTGTAATGATGAACATTGCAATCTGTGTTAGGCTTGAGGAATTCATGACAAACTGAGTAGTTTCTGGTTCACGTAATTATTAAACAAGCTGCAGTTTGTTGAAAATAGTTTTAAAAACCTGAAGCTTTACTGTATAAAATCAACATATTCAAGACTCTAAAAATTGTCAAAACCCCACAGCTTTCCCTTAGACATACAAAAACCTAAGTTTACATTTCAGAATTTCATGGGAGAAATCCTACGGGACTTGAGCTCTCTCATTTCATGATGACCAACATAAGCATCAAAAATTTGCAGCATAAAAAGAACTCCACATCTGCTTAGTATTATACTGCATATACATATACAGTACAAGATTATTTACCCAATTTGGGATGACTGTTCAGCACAACCTTCATGAAGAAAGAAAAAAAAATAAATAGAATTAAAAATCCCACAACTTTTAAAAAGTGCAACAGTAAATGTTTCCAATTTCAGGTTCCGATGGATTTGGACAGTTCTGTGGGTGTTTTAGCCACTTCTACTCAGGCATCATTCGCAGCATTTTTTTTTTACAGTAGATTTAGTTATAGACTAATATAGACTATGACTACTAGTTTCATAGTTACTGCTAATTGAACCAAAGGGAAGAGGAAAAAAAACCAAACTTTTAAAAATAACCCTGAGGGATATACAATTTCATGATCTTGCAATTTATTTCTAAAAAGTAACATTTATTATTTAGCAATTGCTTTACTGGATAGACCAGTCCTTTAAGTATGTGCATAAATAATATTTAAAAATCAGTAATATTTACAAATACTAATACATCAAAGTAAAATACGTACAGATTAAAGTCTGCATACACAAATAATTTAATCATAAATCAAAACTCCTCAACATAAGGCCAAAATATACAGCAGGAAGAAAATGTCTACCAAGTATCTAGTGGAGCTCTCTAAATTGGTGTATTCACCTGAATTTAGACTTCCAAGATGAACACTAGAAGGTATTTTTTTCATTACAAACTGAATTTCATCTTGCTTCAAAAGAGAAACTGAATACACTAGTGCAGATCTAGTTTGCTGCATTTCTGAAAACCAGAAAAACTAAACTACTCAAAATGAGAAAAATTATAGGTGGCCAAACTCAGCTCTTGGGCAGGAAGGCATAAATCCCAATAATTGCAGAAAATGCAAAAGCTTATTTTGTGGCTGAACTTGCAACAACAAGAAGGAT